GCAAGCGTCGCAGATCTGCCAGGTAAAACACCTGATTAACAGTTTCACCCGGAGGAACAAACTCGGAGTGAACAATGCTCGAATTTTCTCGATGTTTTCATCAGTTGAGGAGGTTGAGTGCCTCCCTGAACGAGGTTGGTCGGTGATGAATAAGCGAGAAAAGCAGCTGTAAACTTGCGATTTCTTCATAGCATCTTTTTTGTAAGCTGTTTGAAGCATTACAAAAAAATTCCGCTGCCGTTTTTTTTTTTTTTTTTTTTTTTTGTCTAAGTCAGATTTTGCAAAAAACAATGAATCATTTTGAAGCTCTTGGAAAAAAAAAATTCCCATGGCGCTAAAACTTTAGCAGACGACGCCAGGAGGCAAACTGGCTCAAAAGGGGTGAAAAGGGGTAAAAGGCGTGCCGCTAAGCGCTGCTAGCGGCGGAAGCTGGTACTACGAACGGCGTGCCCTCCAAAAATTCATTCCGGTTACTTTTGGGTCTCCCTTCGTACCTTCGGGAAGTTGCTCGGGCCCAGTTGGGCCCCTTGTTCTGGCTGCGAGTAGAGTGCAATCAACGCTGCTCGTGTTTCTCGATTTTTTTCTTCCTTATTTATTTTTTTTTTTTTGCGACCGCTGTTGCGTAAAAAAAAAAAGATATATATATATATATATATATATATATATATATATATATATATATATATATATATATATATATATATATATATATATATATATATATATATATATATATATATATATATATATGTTTAAAAGGTTATGAATAGGGATCCGTGCTTTCGGTAAATATCAACACAACTGGAATATTAAGCCTTAATGCGGCTTTTATAAAAATCGAGGAAAACCGATAGACCCCGAATGGGAGCTGTCCTTGAATAAAAATAACCCAAGCCTCGCGGAAATAATTTTTTTCCCCCATATTTGCTGTTAACCTTGTAAGCAGCCCCCAATAAACTGCCCGCGAGGCTCTGTTTGGAGTATTCGGGTCACGCGTATGTTCCCTGGAGGTTGGGGAATTCCATGTCAAATTTTCTTCAACATAAGCCCCGATAAACTTCGATTTTTCGTCCCACACCAAATATTGATACCGAAAAACCCCGTATCTGTAGGAAAAATAAAACCGAAAAACAAAACATTCCCAACTTCGAAAAAAAAATAAACCCCGAAAACACGAAATTATGAACGTAAAGGAATAAGCGGTATTTAGTTAAGGTACAATTGTTGCACCGCCCGTTTCACGCCTTTTGAAAAGTTCATCGAGCAACCTGGGCCGTCGCCAAGCCACGAAACGCGTGATTGGATCGGAGTCTTCGCCGATTGCTGACGCAGAACCTCGTGTCCAATACGAGCTGAGCCGAGTTCACGCCGAACGCTGACGCAAAACCTCGTGTCCAATATCACGGAATCGCGGACAGGCGCGGACTTTTGAGAAGGGGACGTTGTGGCCTTTGGACTCGGGCAGATGTTGGGAGTCGCCTCACCGCAAAATGTTTGAAAGCATAAAATACTTTTAACGCTACCCAGATAACCAAAAATGTGTCCGTCCGTCCGTGCATTTCCCGCTAAATTCAGCGGGGAAATTGATGCCACGTGACCTATGCACGAATTTAGTTTCCCCGCTAAACTTAGCGAGTAAATTGACGTCACCTTCATATATATATATATATATATATATATATATATATATATATATATATATATATATATATATATATATATACTATATTATATATATATATATATAATATATATTGTATTGACGATATAATGTGCATTATCTAGATATTGAAAAGTCAAAATAATCTACTTTTAGGAATGCGAACGAGTCACGGTTGGCAAGCTTCACATTCTCTGCAGAAGCCTTGGGAGGAAGCCAAGATGAACATGATATATATATATATATATATATATTATATATATATCAGGGTGTCGAACCGGAACCGAACCGAACCGAAAACCGGAACCGAACCGGTATTTTTTCCGGAACTGAACCCGAACCGTTATATTGTTATCGCGATGAACCCGAGCCGGAACTGAACCGGAAAAAAATAACGGTTACCGGCTCATGTCAAAACGGTTCGGCCACGCGCTGTTGACAATGAATGTGCTATCAATGCCATTTGTTTTTTAAGTGCCGTCAACTGACACACACCTCGCTTACACATTTTTCTTTTTCCACTCAGTCTCAGGAATATAAACGCTGCGTCCATGAATCTTGACAAACGCTGCATCCATGAATCTTGACATAGGAACCAGTATTGCGCTGGTCGCGGCTTGCACGGAAAAAAAAAAAAAAATTGAAAAACTGCGCAAAAAAAAAAAAAAAAAAAATCGCGTCACGGGATTTTGTTTTTCTACAATGCTGCTGTGTGCTCATTTCATAACACGTTTCTAGAACGCGCGAGTTCTTGAAGCTTGTTTCCATCGGAATGAGAAAAGAAAAGGCGTGGAGTTGATAATAATGCATCCGGTTATAGGCACTTAGAAGCTAACATATTTGTGAGACAGCGAAACTCTTCTATTTTAATATTTATCCTATTACGTCCTTCTGGCGTTGCGTTCGGTAAAGTGTTTTTCATATTCCGTATCTTGTTTAATGAAAACTTCTTTAAGGGTCTAATTTGAGGTACCGAAGGCTAGTTCAAATAAAGAAAGCTGTATTTTCTCCCCACTGTTCCTTCAATTGCTTACACGCCGAGGTGGCGGGATAGTTAGCGAGTTCTACTTGTAAGTGGGTTTGTAAGGAGGTCGCGGATTTTACAGCTACTGCGTCGGACCCAATTAGATGAAGTCCGAATGCGTAAACGTCGGTGAGGTAACCTTTGAGTGCACATAAAGAAA